AGAGGATGATAAAAAGCACGGTTAAAAAATTTTTCCAGGAACAAATTGCTCCTTTGGTTTCAAAAATGGATGAAAATTCAAAAATGGAAAAATCAGTAATACGAGGATTATTTCAACAAGGGTTGATGGGTATTGAAATTGACACAAAATATGGAGGAACAGGAGCTTCATTTTTTCCTCTGTCCTAGTGATAGAGGAATTAGCCAAAGTTGATGCGTCTGTGGCTCTGGTATGTGACATCCAGAACACAGTAATTAGCCAAAGTTGATGCATCTGTGGCTCTGCTATGTGACATCCAGAACACGGTAATTAGGAAAATATGGAACAGAAGAACAGAAGGCTATCTATTTGCCCAAGCTAGGAAGTTTCTGCCTTTCAGAGGCTGGAGCAGGTAGCGATTCATTTGCTTTGAAGACCAAAGCTGATAAAATGGGAAATTATTATGTCATCAACAGGTCAAAGATGTGGATTAGCAACACTAAGGATGCCAAGCTCTTCATGGTGATGGAAAATGTAGACCTTACTCTTGGGTATAAAGGAATTACCTGCTTCTTGGTAGATTGTGATACTGAGGGTCTTCATATAGGGAAACCAGAGAACAAAATGGGAAGCAGAGCTTCTTTTACTTGCCCATTAATGTTTGAAAATGTCAAGGTTCCAGAAGCCAATATCCTGGGGCAAATTGGACATGGCTATAAGTAAACCATTAGGGGTCTTAATGAAAGTAGAATAGGAATTGCTGCACAGATGCTGGGACTGGCTCAAGGATGTTTTGACTATGCTATTCCATATATTAAAGAAAGGGAACAGTTTGGGAAAAGAATATTTGATTTTCAGGGACGCCAACACCAAGTGGCTCACATGGCCACCCAGCTAGAAGCTGCAAGATTACTCACATACAACGTTGCAAGGCTTTTAGAAGCTGGAAGGCCATTCATTAAAGAATCATCTGTGGCCAAGTACTATGCATCAGAGATTGAGGGCCTAATAGCTGGCAAATGTATCGAGTGGATGGGAGGAGTAGGCTACACCAAAAATTACCCTGTGGAAAAATACTTCCGAGATGTGAAGATTGGTACAATATATGAAGGAACTTCAAACATCTAGCTGAACACCATCCCTAAGCACATTGATTCGGAATACTGACAGCCACGGGAGTGGGACCCCTCCCTGGTGTCACTGGTGTAAAATTTTAAATTATGTGCCTTGTTGGGGGCTGTGTTGAATGTTTTTATTTAGGCCCTTCACGTTGGATCTGGAGGTAGACCTTTCCTGTTTCCTCTTTCCAATCTGCTTAACTTAGACGCAGAAGATCATTTTTAAAATGTGGAAATAAATGCATCCATATTTTCTCCAAAACTATTTTTAAAACTCTATATGCATTATCATTTTAGCTTCAGGGTATACAGAATTTCACTCTATTAGAATTTGGAAAAATAAAGACAATATAAGTATTTCTTGCAGACATGGCTATTTTATATTCTTGTCATTGTGCATCAGTCAGAGAGATGTTTGTGCTAGTTGGCAATTCTATAGAAGAAATAGATTCAATTCTAAGTTGCTAAACTAGGTGAAACTGATAAAAATTTATTTAGAAAAATCTAAAATTTTAGTTCTGAATATCTGAAAATGAGTGGATTATATAATCGAAGAAAACATTTCAACAAAGGAAAGCAATATAATGTTACTATAATTTACCAGTATGAAAGGTGCATTTCATTATGATTTCAGTAGATCATTTTAAAAACAAGTCTCTACATTAGTTTTCAAGAATGAAGTTTAAATAATTTGGTTTAATAATTAGAATATACTCAATATTATATTATTCATTTTATCAATGATACAGTATTTTTCCATCTTTAAATTGAATACTGTTTTCTCAAACTTAGTTATTGAGCCTTATCATGAATAGTAATTCAGAAATTATATTTTGGTTCAATGATTCTCAAGAGGGGATGTCTTTTCCCCATAAAGGAGTGTATTAAAATCTTGTAAGGAATGAGGGATAGAAGGGAGCTGTAGAGTTCGAAAAGCATATTTGGTAATATAAAAAATGACGTTTCTGGGAAGGCAAAAATAAATCTGTTGTTTTACAGTCAAATTATGGAAAGGCAAAGCTCCGCAAATATATGGCTTGTGATGCCATTTCTTCAGTATCAGGGATTCTCAATCAGGAGAAGAGACCTTGTAGGGTAAAAATCCTCAGTCCCCTCAGGAGGGAGGAGGACAGTGAAGGGTGCTTTATATTTTCTGGAAGGGGGCACGGGTTAGAGATGTTGGAAAATGTTTCAAGGCTCATAGAGTTGCTTAAAGTAATCACTGCTGTCAAAGGGGAAGCACTTTAATGAAAGAATAATGTTTATTAAGAAAATTTGACATTTTCAAAGTAATTTTGCTTTGCACATTCATGTTCATCGAATTGGATTAATTTCTGTAATGGATACTGTAGTTAAATATTCAGAACTGTGTAAACACAATTGAGATAGGAATTACATTAAAATATTAGGAAGAAATACAGACAAATTTATTCCTTAGATTAAAAGAGATAAAGTCTACTTGATTTTCAGATAGGGAGCTGATGGAAGCCAGTCATTCAGTGTTTTAGAACAAAAAGACAGTAATCTGATAAGGAAAGTAGGGGGTGGAGGAAATGCCCTAAAGGGGGGCTTGGACATCTTTAATTTTTGTGATTATGTGAGAGAGGTGGGCTTTTCAGGTAATGGAATAGAAGCCAACGTTAGTAAAAAGAATCCCAGCTTCCTCCTGTAGAGTTACAAACACATCAAACTACAATAAGCCTCCTTCAGATTAGCAGCATGAGAGAGGCTCCCGTGTACATCTAGACCGTGAATTTATAGTTCATATTGATACAGTTCTAACTGTGTGTATATTTTTTGTGCAGGTTCACAAATAACAGTTGAAAACTATGTATTGTAGTTAATATCTGTACCTACCTTCTTCTATTAGTGAATTGTGTTATTGTACCATTTATCAAAGAGGATGTTGTGGGTTTCCAGCATAGTTCTTCCATTATAGCTTTTCTTAATAACCATGACTTTGGGGGTCTTGAGTTTGTGTCTAGTGGAGGACAAACTTGTTTACCTCCTGAAGCTTGTCATTACTGTTCATTAATTTGAGGATAGGGCTGTCATGGGGCTCAGAAGGAAGAGACTTGAACACAAGCAACAAGTTGTATTTGTGTGGTAGAGCTGGACTCAACCCAACTGCCAAGTTAGTATTGTTAGACGTTTCACTTTACAACACAAAAATGAATCGGTGTCAAAGATTTTAGAATTATGGAAAGCTAAATCTATAAAGAGTTTAGAGAACCATCCAGCCAACTCTCATTTTAAGAGTGAATGATTCATATAGCCCAGAATACTTGCCCAAGGGCATCCATCCAGGGCCAAAGATAAGACAAGGATCCAAATGTACTAGCTCCCAATTCAGTGCTCGTCCTACTGTTTACTACTGTCTCTGTTCAACAAATTTTGGATTTCCTCCTTGTTATGTCTCAATACTCTTATTGATTTATTTTAAGTTTAACTGATAAAGAATTAACACTTCAGAAGTGTTAAGATTGATCAGTGTCATTACTTACATATTTTAATCACCTGCCAAACACACTGGCTCTGCTAGGATGTAACTGGTATGTCAAATGTAAAGATTATTGTGTATGATCACTTGGTTTTATGATTTTGATGTGTTTTAGTAAATGCACTAGTTATATCCTTGCCAATGTATTTTTGCTGACCTTTCTTTTTTTTTTTTATTAGCAAATCTCATTTTTAATTCCAATCACACATACCCATCATTTTGGCATTCAGTGCTATATATATTTTACATAAAAATTCCATTTCTTGAAGAGGATGAAGAAATCCTTACATGCCTCTGGTAATATCATTTTCCACTAAAGTTTGATGTCTTTTAAAGAACATTATTTTCCACTTGTTAAAAAAAAAAATATCTTTCAAAGCACTTTAAAAATACAAAAATTTTACATGTGTTAAGATGTTATAATTTATGGGGTTAAATAAATGCAGCGTACTCTTCAAAAAACCACTTAAAAAAAAACTTTAAAACTATTATAAGGAGAGAGGGCATTTTATAACAGCAAAGTCAGAAATTCCCCATCACTCAGATAATTTAAATTTATCCTAGGCACATAATAATGCAGCTCAAAACAACCTTAACAAAAACAGCCAAAACTTCTACTATCCCCTCCCCCTTCACTCGTATGTCCTAACAACTAAACTTTAACAAAAGGAGGGAAGGAAAAAGATCATGATCTCACAGTCCCAGAATTTTCCATTTCCCCCAAACTTAAAAGCCAACAGTAGCCATACAAAAGTGAGAAAGTAAGCGGTTCTATATGAAGTTACAGATTAAACTGAATGACAAATGTAAAAAATAAACTGAAAAGTTTAACAATGCTTAAAATGAAATCTGCTTATTACAAAGGACAGACTTTAAAAACGTTTAACATCATTTTAGCTTCATCCTTATGAAGCAACCAGGTTAAAACAATGAAAACAATGACTCGTTATATTTTTCCTTATTAAACTCCTGATCATTGTTGACTCCCATCCATTTCTAGTATTCAAATAATGATCTAAACGCAGCTCAGATAGAAATAATGTACTTACATTGGCACAACAGGAGACTTCCCAATATTTTATATTTGAAATAACCATTTTTAATTAGCCTATTAAGAATTTTAAAACTAATGTTCACGTTTTCAATTCAACAAGTCTGTGGGTTAGTCTGCTTTTTGGTTTGTTTGTTGGTTTTGGGGTGGAGGCATCAAAGCAGCTTTTTATAGAAAGACTGAAAGAATTAAATAGAAGGCACGGTAGCACTGTAAAGCTTTTTCAGATCATGATAATCTTTTTGTGTGTATATATGGAACCCAAACTTTCTTTTTTGTTGTTAAAAATGTCTGATGAACAATCAGAAAATCCTTATTTATCCTCTTTCCC